GTTTAATACCAAACTTACTGACATAAATTCATAAAATAGTAGTTGAATAAAATTTTGAAAGCTTGTCGATAGGGTTCTTCAATAGCGCAATATACTGCCAAAATGACAGCAAATGTATGGAAGGAACAAGTGTGTTAACTCAGCTTGAAAAAAAAAACGTTTCTAACACAGCCATCTTCAGTTTCTTACAGTGGTTAAGATATGTTAACAGTTTTCTATGATTTCAACTCTGACAACAAAAAATAACAAATTTCATCCCAACATACAATTTACAATTGAAAATAAAAATTTCTCTTATCATATTTTTAAATGTTCAGATCACCAAAAAACCAACTGGATTTCACACAAAGGGACAAACTCTGCATAATACACCAACTGGAATTCTGGACACCCTCAAACGTGTCAGTGAGAAGCTAATCAACTTACGAAAGTTACTTTTGAGGAAGCACAATATTCATATAAATTCTTTTAATTACACACAAACCAGGAATCAAAATTAAAAACACCATTGGATAAAAATATCTTCCAGAGAATAAAAAGTATGAAGTCATATACAATCCCAAATGAAATTCTTTCAACTAACAATACCTTAAAGAAAATTATCACAGTTTCTGAAAATAAAGTTCAATTTATTAACACAAAACTTAATCTTAACACACAAAATATAGCTGGGGCTGACTGATGAAAAACATGAAACCAACATTAAATAAGTATTCAGGAACTCCTACCTAAATTCAATATGTTTATATATTTCTTCCCTTTTTTGACAAAACATAGATTTACTTACTTATTTCTTACCTTACCACCATCAATAAAGTCTGCTATTACCTTCATTAATTGACATTTGAACTTACCAAGTATTGTTCGACTGTAACAGAATCCTGAAGATGACCCACTAGTATGATAGTAAAACAAATTTTTTCTACTAATAAAGCAGCTTCTTATATCATTGAGTTGTTCAGTAAGATTCTCAATCAACAATAAATGAGCTGTCAATTTAGTTTTGCAGAAATACAATATTCGTGTTTTCTTTATACAAGGTTTTAATGGTAACACACTGAAAAACTAAAGTAAAATAAGTTTTTATTTTCTGAAGTACAGGTGACGTATAGTGATTCACGTATATCTAAAAACTTTTCCAAATGTGTTACGGAAACTTAAATCTCAAAGTATAAAATTGTAAAGAAGTTCATAAATAAATGCCAACAGTTCATAATGCAACTTGATACATGAAGAATAATGTGTTAAAACACACTGTTATATTTACAAACAAATAATGAATGGAATCTCAATACATAATGAAGAGACCACCTTTAACAGCATATACTAGATCTCTTTACCACTACCTTCAGGGAGAAACCTATTAAAATTTGGATGTGTAAATGCTCTATAATATACAGGGTAGTAATTACAAAATCATATATTAGATACAAATGATATAGTTAATATTCCAAGAGAAAATACTGAAATGTATTTGTTGTTGTTTCTTTTCTCACTCTTAAGAAATTGACATGCAAGCACTCTTTAAATAATACATCTTAAGTTTTCTAAACACTAAAACGGTAACAAATAAATAGTAATATTAGCACATTATCAAGTAATTTCTTACTCAGTGCTTGTAGATTCATCATCAGAATCATTTCCAGAGTCATTCTTTTCACTGTCATCATCAGGATCAACAACATCACTTTCATAACCCTCTTTGATCCTTTCCATTACATCAACATGGTCTAACTCTGCTAAATACTCATCTCCAAACTCATGACCTTCCTAAAATAAAGTAGAAGTATGATTTGCATATTTTCAAACTCTCTGAAAGAGACAAATGTTATTAGTTACTTTCATTTACTTTCTAAACAAGAAAACAAATTAATACATAGAATTATAATTTGCTAAGGATTTATTTAAATCTTATATGTTGCTTCAGGAGGAAGGGTAGAAAATATGGCAGATTTTATCTTGTAAAAGAGAATAATATTGTCTAAATCATGTCTAATTTCTACAGAAAAAGGCAACACAACTATAACAAAAACTTAAATATTTCACTAAAATACTATATTTAACTTTTCCAGGCAATAGGTGTATCACTGATATATTTCTTCTTGAACCCTCAAGGTGAAACATCACACCAAATTAAATGTTACGTAAAACTTATCATAAATTTTCTAAGTAGTACCTAATTTCTATCTAAAAATACTAAATGATATTAAACAGGTTTTGTTAATGATTTTTGTAGGATGTGAAGTTTCCAAACTTTTTTTAAGAAACACCATACTGAAAAACATTATATATTCTACCTTTCACCTTATAATTTAATTTTGTAATCATTATTCATTAAAAGAGTTCCACATTATATATCCAGCCAGCTTCTATTTGTTTGATATTCATTAATATATATATACATTTTCATTCTTTATTTTGCCATTTGAACAGTCACCACTTTCCAGGTATAAATCTTAAAACATGGCAAAAAACAAAACTTTTGTTGGGTGACCAATGAACATAACTTTCAAATGACATTCCCATAATTGCAACTATAGTGGTTTTTGTCAAAATATTCTTGGCCAGGATTAATTTATATATAATAAATATAATTTCTTTGATTCGTGTATGATGATTCAATATGGTAAACTTAGCAATATATTCAATTAAAAGTTTGCCTTCTGTTAGCCTACTTGTTTAAGTCAAGTAAATTTAACTAATATATTGTCATATAAGAATATTCCTGTAGCTTTGTATCAGATATCATTTAACACAAAAACAGGACTAGAAATCAGTGGCAATCCATTAATAAATTTCTGACCAGACTAGTAAATTTAGCAATTTGACTAGCCCGACCGGCCAGCAAACATTTCATTTCCTGGAAATGAAAACCTCATGCACAATGGCTTAGAGATCCTCATTATATCTTTGTGTTGTAACATTTTTTTTTCCTATATCTCGGACCTTGAATTAATAAAAAATTAATTTAAGCCACTGCTAAATGCTCAGATGTTGCTCTTTTCAATCATTAAATTCTCTAATTGGCTGAATATCTTGTCTTCTAGATCATGTTTTCTGCCTGTCTACTTGGTAAGGACAATCTTCAGTAAAAAATGTTTAAACATAATATTGATTTTTGAAAGCATGACTGTCTTCTTTATTTTTAAACACTCTCCTCCTTCATGTAATCTCATGTTTTGAGTGATTAAACAACTTTTATAAAATTTATCATCCACAAGTTTCACATCGGCATGACATATGACACTGAGCTTAACTTTTTAGCATTGTAATATTACAGTATAATGCTATATTTCGAACTCTACTAGCCTGCATGACTGTTACAAATTAGATGTAAATTCAAGCCCTGAAAAACAAACATAAAAAAATGCTAAAACAAATTCAGAGCTCTGTGGCTTGTTACTGTTGTGAACTTCACACATTAGGATCATTTGTTCATCCCTATAGGAGCTCTGGTTGGCTAATATGTCAACAAAGCACAAATAACTGCTAAGGGCACTTTATTTACTGATGTAAATAGATAATAATTTTCTATTTAGTTAATTTACTCTTCATGCAAAATATTCTCAAAGCTGAGCTTTATTACTAATTGCTCATATCACATGTTACGACACCATAAAATGATAACAGGATAGGGTTGTAGTAATAAAAACCAGGAACAAAGAAGGAAAATAACTTGGAAAAAGTTACTCTGCTAAGTATTTAGTTTCACATCTTTCATTTTAGTTATAATAAAATTATTAAAGGGCAATTTTAAACTAATATACAATCTTTATAACAAATCAATAAATTAGTTACAGTCAAGACTCCTCAGAACTGCACCTAAATGTGATGGTAAAATATTTCAAGTAAAATATTGTTAAAATGTAGTTAAGATTCTTTTTTTTTCACACTCATAACTAACACAAATGCTTTTTTACAACCTCTTGAGAAGTGATGCTTTCCAAACACCCAATCCTGTATTGATAGACCAAAATAAGACCAGAAAAGTAATGTTGTTTTAAATAATGATAATGAAAAATGAAGGAGTGACAGAGAAGGATTACAAGGATGAAGAAGAATCTGATAAAAAGTGCAAACTAGTACAAAGCAAATATGAGGAAGATAGTCCAAAATGCATAGCTGGAGAGTAGGTAAAAACCTGAAAATTATATGCAAGTCCAAAAAAAAACCTATGGAAAAAACTATAGCCAAACTAAAGATAAAAACATTCTTTTTCTCTGTATGCTTTTCATCTTAGTTGTTTGGCTTATGAGAAGAAGCTAGACAACAGAATATCATGAAGACCAAAGACCCAAGTAGTACTATAGGTTACTCCCAAGTACTGTCTGTGTTAAAAGACATTAGTTCTTAGAAGAAAAAAAAACAATGTATTAAGCAATATTCTTTCTTACATAGGTCTGAATGTGTTCAATTAAGATGATTTTGAAGCTTCACCATGTCAATACAGTTCATGTCACCTTGTCCAGTCATGCTCTATCTGCAACCACGCTTCTTGACAATAGCCCTGCAGCAGCTTTCACTATACAAAGTTCCATCATAAAATTATCTTGTCCAAAGCACACAACTCCTCCCTGCTTTCATTCCCCAATCCAGCTTGTATACAAAACGACCATTTTGAAGCATTCACATGAATAGTACAATCAAACAGAAATCCACAGGTGCTGCATCCTGAAACTTTAATTGTACATCTTCCTATGAAGTAAATGGCATAAATACATATTTGATTCTCTTGCTGCATAAGGTATAACATGGTTGAACAGGCGGTATGAGTGAAAGCCTTATCTTGGTGAATCCATATCTTGGTAGCCTCATCTCTGTACAAAGCTAGTATTTGTGCGGTACAAAGGGTCCAGAACATTGGTCCGATAGTAAGATGAATCCACCTTGACCTTTATTTTTACTCTCTTGATCTCTAATTTTCCTCTGACACAGTATTTACCAATAATCATGAATCCCTTTGAAAAAGTTGTGCATCATGCTGTGTACCACTTAAAAAATCTTTCCCTCCAAGACTGGTAGAAAATGGTATGAGACTTGTTCCAGTTACAAAGGTACACACATGCTTAGTTAAGTGTCATCACAGACTGACCCTTTTTGCCTGGCTAGGTACCATTCATACACTTTCCTAAAGTTGGTCTTTCTACCTTGGATATGTTGTGTAAATATGACTTGAGTCACTCTTCCAGATGGATTTCCTTCTTGATGTGTAATGTTGCCCAGAGCATGTGGATGGTTTTGTGACTGATCTTTTACTTTGTGGATTCTCACCTGTTACAAAACACACCTTTCTAAAATGGATAAATTTTCTGTGGCATCACACCACTTATGAAATGCCAAACAATGACAAAATGTGTTTATGATACATTCTGTTCTACCAGGGCATATCAGCTGTGGCTTTCATATGACCTTCCAATTGGAGTATTCAAATCATTTCAATACAATATACGCAACCCTTTGACAACAGTTCCTCACTATCAATAATAATCTTGCTTGTGGGCAACAGTTGTCACTTAAGAAAATTTTTCGTAGATCATATGTCCTAAAAGGCTTGTGAGTCAACACCCAAAGATATAGCACTTCATAATACTCCTGTTCTTAGTTTTCCTTAAACCTTATACAAAAACATGTACAATAAAACCTTTTATATTTAGCTACCTATTCATTTCACAATACAAAGTATTTTTTTTTTTTTTTAGAAAACTCACCTTGTTAGCTGTCTGTTCATTTAAAAGTTGGCCAGCATAGATACATATAAACATTCCTTGGGGAATATCATCTACACATCGAATGCCCCATCCTCGTTTCTCCGTTTTAAATAGCTGAAGACGTGTGTGAAGGCCATTCTGAGCAACACGATTCAAACATGAGGAATTACATTTACACCATTTATTACACTCGTATATCCTGTAAAAAAAAAGTACAAGTTTGAAACCTAGCAACAAACAAGATTTCTACATTATGATACTAGCAAACCCATAAGATGTATAACATATCTACTGACTATGCTATCTTTATGAAAACTGTAACTCTAATAACAATATGTTGATTAATTTCCAGTATAGGAAAAAACAATATAGTTATATATCAGATAACAGACTATTACTTGAAATAAGGCATTATGAAGAGACTGATATGCAAAAAGCTTATTAGTAATGTAAAAGTTTTTAATAATCTAAGTTTTCAATGTGTGGCCACTGTGCAAGAGTTATAAGAACTAGGGATCCTACCATTAACAGGTTTTGAAAAAGAAATTATAGGAATAGGTTTGATAATTGTGACAACTTCAGCAACTTGTTTAGAACTTAATCTTTACCAAATCTCAACAAAGTATGCATTTTTTTTTTCAATATTCAAACACTGTCTTCTTTGTTTATTACCAATACATACAAGGGTTCGTCTAATGGACCGAGCCCTTATTGGATAATTAATGTTACTATAAGTTCTATGTATAATTCTAAATTTACTTAATGTATCTTCAAAAAATTTGGTAAGCTCTTAGCAAGCATTACAAGTATGTTGCACACACAAAAATCAAAATTTTTAGTACAGTATTTCTACTAGACTTGTCTCTGAGCTTTAGTCAGTCTGATTTGGATTCTAGTTTGAGGTTGAGTGCAAGGTGATTTATGTTAAGAATTAAAATAATGTATTTTCATCTAGTTAACATCTAAACCTCCTAAATGAATATCAAAAGTTTTTCACTAAAAATTTATATCTGTTATTTTCTTTCTTTGACCGACCTGGTAACAATCATTGAAAAAATATATAATCTACATTACCCCTTTTTCTTCCTAGAATGATGGCAGATTGTAACAGTTTAGATCAGTTTTAATTTAAATTTATTGTGTTATTACTCACTGAACAGTGTCCAACTTCCACGAATAGCAGTAAGTCACCCAGCAGGAGTGAGGAGAGTTTTGGGTAAATAAAATTTCAGGTTACATCACAAGATGTCTAACTATGCATGTTCCCTTGTGCATTCCTTCAGGTGAATTTTCTTTCTATTTCATTTAAGTTTTTTCATCTAACCAAAAAGTTTTTCATTTTCATATTTTAGTTGCTTTTGTTAAAAAATACATACCAGTAAATAAATAATATGCACAAAAAATGACAAATATGGCACTTATTTCAGAACAGAGGACCTTTTGTTTTCAGAAGTTGGTCATCATTAACCCTAAATTTTTCTAAGTTGGTTGTCCAAAAAGTAATTCTTCATGTAGCTTTCAAATATATATCTTAAAGCACTAACAATAATTCAAACAGTAAAACAGAATGCTCCAAAACTACTATCATTTCTCTTGCTTTCTATGTGACCTATAAAAACAAATGAAACATTTATTTCTTACCAAAGCACTGAATTTGATCTTTACTGAATAGAATCTGCTTGGGAAATGTCATCTTTCACCATAATAAATTAACATAAAGATGTCACAATTGAATAAAATGACCTTTCTGTTAGTTATAAACTTTTATCATTAACAATTAAGCATAAGTAAGTAATTTCAAGAGCATGAAAAGCTGGGAGTTTCTGTTATTGATATCTCAGAAAATAAAAAGGTTGGAAGTTATTTTACATTCTGGTCTGTCAATATCTCTAGATGGTGTGTATAATTGGTGGACATTCTGAAAAACCATATAAGGGAAAAAAGAATATTAAAAATACAGAATTTAGAGCACAGATGCATCACATGACATATAGAAGTGAAGACTGGGAATTCATTTAAATAATTCAATTAAGAAACAAAAAGTTGCATAACATTAAAATTTCTATTATAAACTACATTTTAAATAAATAATTGGGAATTTAAAAACCTGCAAATAGGGATCATAAAAAAAGTAAGGAAACAAGGCTGGAGATACTGTAAACATTATTTACTCAAACTACAAACCCCTATTTTCACTCCATGCTGTTACCTAGAATTACATAATGTTTGTCTTTTTTTTTTGTACACTTCTCTGGGTAAATCACTCACTTACACACTTAGATGAAAATTTGTTGAAACCGTGAAATTTGATTCACTCCATAAACACATAAATAGCAATTCAGGCAGCTTTATAAATATAATAAGCTTTACTTTTGTGCAGCCAATACTGTGAAATAGCCATTGCTAATATTCAGACATTTTAAAGGTGGTTTCAAACAAGCAATTTTTACAGCTGCCATTTTGTTTCATCTTGATTCCTACTATTAAACATTACTGTACTTGATGATAAAGTTTAATTAAATTTTGAATAATTCTGTAAAAGTCATGCCATGTGCACTTTGATCCCCCACCTGTGAACACAGGCTATTTTGAAGTAATTATTCTGTTCATAACAATCTTCATGATGTACTCCTTTGTTCTGTAGCAAATTGAATAGGTTGTACTTTGGTAATAAATTACATTTTCATTGTTTTATACATCATGATAATTTCTAATGGTCATTATCTAATTTAATTGGAATTTTAGGCAGCACACATTTGTATACATCATTTTTGTATGTAAGAGTTTGTAGAAATTTATACTGTTTCTTGCAATTTGTATGTGCATCATTCCTTTTATAGATGTACAAACATTTGTGCAGAACTTTAATTCCCTGACTTTTGGAAAATATTGTACCTTTCTAAGTGTCTAACTTTTTTAAGTTGTCAAATTTCTTCTGTTGCATAATTTGCTTTTATTTTATCTCAATTTAGACAATTAGAAGAATAAAACAAATTCAGCAGACATAACTATATATTGGTCTACAAATCTCTTAACTATAATAACAGTGTTTGCAAAATATAGCAATATTTCAGTTACCATACATCACAAATGTATATATACTATTATTATATACTCATAAATGCTTTTTTTTAATATAGAACAATAAATAAGAAATACATAGAAAAACAATGATTTTGAGTACTTACTGTATTACAAAATTGTTTTTTTGCACTCGTGGGTTGTACATGCTAAGCCTCACCATAAGCCTAGTTTATTCTTCCGAGTGAAAGATGACAAGATATTAACTTTTGTAGGCCTTAAATATACATTTGAGAACACGAAAAATTATAAACTTATTATATTAGTCCACACAAAACTCTTATAATTAACCTGGGTTGCTAAATATGCTATATGTGGGTTTCAAAAATCTCATTTCTATTCATACCAATATCTCATCACACTTCAATAGTTTAGTGAAATTATGACTTCCTCCTTCAAGCTACTTACAAACGACTGTCAGATTTATGTAAAATGGAATGTACTCTTTCTATTGGTTATAAACACATACTCAAGAGAAGTACATGGGACAAGACATGAGGTTTTGAAAGAATGGAGTAGTGGAAGGAGCCACTCTAGTGGGTTTGCTAAATATGTTGATATATCAGAAAAACATAGATGAGAGGTTTTTATTTTATATTCTAGCTTGCCCAAATCTCAAGGTCGAGTTTCTAATCCACAAACCACTGTACACATTGTGTAGTAGGCACAGTAAAATACAAACTGAGTAATGAGACAAGATGGGGTGCTATATGACAAAAATTGATATACAGCATTTGTTTTAATATTTCATTTTAAATTAAGAAATTAAAACATATAATATTAACATTTGAGTTATAAACTAGGTTTTGATGCCAATTTAATTGCCATACAGTGATAATAAAGTAATTTAATAACATCTTGAAAATAACTCTCTAAAAGGTCATGACATGCACTCTTTAATCTGCCCATAGTGAGAGTGTCAAATTTCTGAGAAGACTATTGGCAACTTGTGAAAGAGTATGTGACAGGTGAGCATTGCAAGAGGGGTCTGATTTTCTAGTTTATGGCTCTATAACCCAAATACAATTGAAGGCTATAAAAATTATGCTTTTCCTGAGCAACAACAACATTATAATGAGTAATTTACTTCTTGGAGGGATGGTAAATAAATTAGAGAAGAAGGAATGCTTACGGAGCAAATGTCACAATTCTCATACTAGAGGGAAATTGAAGATTTTTCATTAATATTGCCTTATAAAATTAAGAACTTAGAACTTATATTAAAATTTGGATTATTTGCAACATTTTGAGGCCAAATTTAGTTGTATATCATGATAATGAAGTACTTTAATTAAGTTTTGATTGTAACTCAGTAAAACCTCTTCCCATGCACAGAAAACGATAGCCATATGGAAAGAGTCAATGAGAAATAGTTGACACTCACATGCAACTTCACTTGGTGAAGAGAATTATTTAAAGTTCTGAATACAACTGTGGTA